AGAGGGGCCTGATCCCAGGAGGGTAGCGAGACTGCCTGCCACTCCAGCCAGAAGGTACAGAATGGAGAATTGGAAAGAACCAGCACTGGGCTGGGAGATGTGAGCCCCTGGTTGGTGGGTGGGCTCCCTGCCTGGTGTAAGGAGGTGAGTGACCTTGGGCAACTTACTTAGCCTCTCTGGACCCATTTCTCATCTGGAAAGTGAGGCTGCTAATAGCAACGGCTTCCCAGGGTGGACTGCAGGGCTAAAGGAAATCAAGGATGGGAAAGGACGTTGTGAATGACCCAGCGTGCTTCACGTGTATGGAATTATCTTCAGGACCTCCCTTGTTCCCCTCGCTAATCTAGAGACACTTGCCACTGCTGAGTGTTGGTGAGAGGAGGGGAGATGCCTGCTTCTTCAAGAGAACACGGTGGAAAAGTCCCTATCAGGGAAGCTCCTGGTGACCTGTGGGCTTGTCCAAGGAGGGTCAGGAGTCCCCCTCTCCCTCCTTTCTCCCCAGGTGCCCCTCTGGCCGGCCATGGTGACCTAATTCTTACAGTGCCCAGATACACCATCTTCACACTCACCCAGACAGAGCTGTGCCTTTGCGTCTGCTCTTCCCCCTTCTTGGTACGCAACTCCTACTTAGTCTTCAAGACTCAGTTCTAAGGGTTAGCTCTTCCTGGGTGTCTTTGCTCTCTTCTTGACCCAGACAGGATTGGTCACTCCCTTTTCTGTGTCTCCCATACATTCTTCTATTGTGGCATCCATCCATCCATCCATTCATCATCCATCATCCACCCACCCACCCAGCCATCCATCCACCCACCCATCCATCCTCTGGACCCCTGGGTGTGGTGGGTGCTATGGTGCAGTACTCAGACCCCACTCTGGGAATAAGGGTTTATTTCCAAGCCACTAGGAGCACTGCTAGAAGACAGCCCTTAGCTGTCAGCCCTCTTTGGGAATTATCTTGATTTGAAGAAATCTGCCTCACCAAAGTCACACCCCCTTGCAGGGGTGGGCCCACTTCCAATGACAGGTCAATGTCTGGGTGGAAAGGCCTAAACCTCTCACCCAAACTTGGGACCACTTTGAAGGGCCATTGCAGCTCTAGAGGTGCCTGTGGGGGTGGCTGAGGACTTCACTGGGACTGCCTCAAAACTCACCTCTCTCTACCAAATCCTGTGACCTCTCCTCCCTTCCACAGTGTTTTTCCCAAGACCACTTTCTTTTTTTTTTTCCTTTTTGTCTTTTTTACTGACCGGCAACGGGATCGCAACCCTCGGTGTTGCGCCTGCACCGCACTCAGCCAGTGAGCGGGAACCAGTCTCCATATGGGATCCGAACCCTCGGCGGGAGCCCCAAGACCACTTTCTAATAAATAATCTGCATGCTAATCATCTCTGAGTCTACTTCCCAGGGAACCCACTGGATTAAAAAGGCCTGCAGAAGTTCTTTCAGGGCAGGGACGGTGTTTTAATGACTTCTATACATCCAGCAGCTATCACTGGGCAGGCCACATTGTAGATGCTCCGGAAACATTTATTAAATGCATTTTAATGCATTTTCTTCTGGTTCTCTGTTTTGTCCCTCTGTTGTCCCCAGCAGGAGAGTCCTCATCAGACATCCAGGAGAAAGGGATGGCCCCACCAGCAGGATGTCAGTGGGACTAGGAACTGCATGCCTGTTTCTGGGGAATGCACTAGTTGCCAACAAAACTGTAAATAACCATGGAAACAGAAGTCAAGCTAATTGGGGTGAAGGGGCCTGGCTGATGTCAGGGCTGTGTGCATAGGGTACAGGCTCAATGGTTGGCCGGGAGGCTGAAGGCTGGCAGGCATGGGTGGTGGTCATGGTGGTGGGGAACTGCCTCTGCTTACTTACAGGGCAAACCATTGCAGTGTTAGAACCTGTAAAATCTTCACTTTAGACTCCATTTTTCAAAATTCCTTCACAGAACAAATATCTATTAAGAGCCTCGTCTGTGCCATAGCAAGGATGGGGACCTTGGAAGGCTGGGGCTCCAATGCTGGCTCCTCTCACTTGCTTTGTCACCTGGGCAAGTTATGTGACATCCTCATCGCTGATATTTACTGAGTGCTAATGACTATGTGTCTGCCACTGTGTAAAGTCCCTTACATAATTTTATTTCATCTTCACAGCAGCTTCATTAGGAGATGATATTATTATTCCTTCTTTATAGACAAGGAGACAGGCTCAGAGGAGACCAGTAACATGCCCAATATCACACAGCTAATCACAGGGCAGAGAGGAGATGCGACTCCAAGTCTGATGGTGTCCCCGAGGCTGTGTTCTCAGCCACTGTTATGCTTAACCTCTCTGAGCTTAGCTTCCACAGCTAGGAAATAAGTATCATGAATTCCTACTGCACTAGGTTGTTAGGGAGTAAATAACCTGTGTAAGGGCTGGCCAGTTAGCTCAGATGGTTAGAGTGTGGGGCTGATAATGTTAAGGTCCAGGGTTTGATCCCTGGACTGGCCAGCTGCCAAAAACAAAACCAAAAGCCAAAAAACCCCCCAAACACCCCCACAAACCTATGTGAAGGGCAAAGAGGGTGCCCAGTGAATGGTCCATTCTGTTCTTTCTTCCCCATTCCCTACCCCCCATCTCAACACTTCCCTGGGCTGGGAGGAAGGATGGTTCCAAGGACAAATGTCTCTGTTCCCAAGTCCAGCAGTGTCTGCCACTTGGCCAGCACTCACTGAATGCTGCTGACCTAAATGGATGATGTGGGAGTCCCCGGCCTCAGTTCTCTGCACTACAAGTTGGGAACCCAACTCAGTCCACCACTAGTCCATGATGCAGAGGGCTGCGGCAAGTACCACGAAGAGCCTTCCCCGACTTGGTGCCATTAACTCTACTCTCAGGCCACTGGGATTTTCAGGTTTTTCACAGCAGAACGGAGCAGAAACAGATGGAGATGATCCCTGAGCCCTCGAGGTAGAGAAGGGTACTGGAATGAAGACAAAGGAATGCCAGGTCCTGCCTGACGGCTCAGGTCTCTCCCACAGGCAAACTCCAGCCTGTTCATCCCCACCGCCGCACCAACTGCAGACGTTCTGGTAGATTGGGGGCATTCACCTTCCTTCCACCACAGGCTCCCGGGAGAGGTAGTGGCATGTAAGCACTTAAAACTCGAATCCCCAGGTCAGCCCTCCGCCCTCCTCCCCTTCTGCAGACGCCCTGGAGCTGGAGGCTGTGTGGAGACTGACGCCACAGCCTTGGAGAGACAAGTCACATCCTCAGCTTCCCTCAACCTGTGCAAGCACCAAGTTGCCATGGCAATGCTGCAGCCCTGAGATGCAATGGCTGCAGACAGCATGGGTGGTTCTAGGACTCAAAGCCGAGGGAAGATGCTGTGTGGCCCAGGGGGCCAGGCGATCGGGCAGGCCAGGTGGGGGAGGAGGAGAGGTAGCTCTCCTCTATGCCTAGCTGGTAATTGCCGCTAAATGAGTAGCTGTCATTGAACCCAACATGCTCACGGTGAGGCTCCCTGCTCTGCACCCTGTAATTACTGCACCAGACAGCAGCACTTGCTCCCTGTGCCGGAGGAGAGGGCGGTGGGGAGCAGACAGGAAGCTCTTATCCACCTGAGCCAGCAGGGCTCTGGCAGACTCTGCCCGCTGCCCTAGCTGCCTGCATCACAAGCGGCCCCCCCTTGGCTAGCTCTCTCCAGGCCGCCCAGCGGGAGCACGAGCTTCCCTTAACCCTGGCCTCTGAGCTTGCCAAACCCAAGGGGGGCAGAGGAGCGGGAGGTAGATAAGGACCTTTGTTCAGAGTGCCCCTGGCGCAACACCTCCACATGCTGAAGTCTGTGCTGGGAATGAATTGGAGGCAGATCTTGGTTAGAATTCCTCCTGGGCACGGAGGCTATGGGGCCTCAAGCTAGTCACTGCCCCCTCTTGGGCCTGTCTCCCTAACTGTAAAACTGGGAGTTGGACTCAACAATTCTGCTACAGTAGGGGTTGGCAAACCAGTGAGCAAGCTGGATCCTACTTTTGTATAAAGGTTTCACTGGAATACAGCCACACCCTTTTGTTTCTATATCGTCTACGGCTGCTTTCATACTACCACAGCAGAGTTGAGTAGCTGTGACAGATGCCATATGGTCTCCAAACCGAAAATATTTACTATCTGGCCCTTTACAGAAGTTTGCAGACCCATTTCTAAAGCATTAAAATTATCCTAGGCTTAACTGAGTAAGCTTTAGTGGCTCCAGTATGATTAGAACAATTTCATAACAAGCCCCATCCTGGTGCCCACCCATGGACACCCACTGTCCTCCTCCAAGGACCCCCTTTCTGCCTGGATTTAGAGTGGTGACAGGTCGGGCTGGGCTCTGGGAACTGAAGTGCAGTGCACTGGCGCCACCTGCCGTGAGTGCCTAAAAGCACTTCTGCCTGGAAAGACTTGGCCCCAGGGGACAGCAGGTGTCCCATCGCAGGGGAACCAGCTCACAGGAGCAGGCCTGGGCTCAGAACCACTGCATATCAGAGCCAGAGTCTTGTCTCCCCCATCTTGGAAAGAGAGGGCTGCAGTCTAGAGAAGAAGTGGGACTTGTCCAAGGTAGGTGGACGGAAGGTCCAGGTCCCAGAGCCCATAAAGCCTTCCAAGAGGCAGCACAGATCAGTGACATCCATGGACATACACGGAGGCACACAAACCTGGCAATGAATCCTGGCTCAACCACTTACTTAAGAGGTTCTTTGTCTCAGCACCAGTGTGTGGGCAAAAAAAAAATTCTTTATCTTTTCCAGGTCTTGGTCTCTTGATTGTTGAAAGGATTTAAAAAATAAACATCTAAATAGCATGTAATCTCTTACCAATATTAGTTCACTTAATCTTCAGAACAACTCTTAGGTATTATTATCTCCATTACACAGATGAAAAAACTATGGCACAGAGAGGTTTAGTAATTTGCTTACGATAACACAGCTAGTAGGCAATGGAGCCAGGATTCAAATATACACTGTGAAAACATGCAGTCTCCAGAATACTGTACTCAGTAAATATTCATTTATTTCCTGCCTGCAGGTGTTGTGGGGCCCCAAAGAGAGGGCAGCAGCAGAGCTCAAACAGGAACATAAGAGACACAGCAGGCCTGGCTTATGACCAGTCATTTGAAGACAGACCCAGGCAGGGAAAGAAAGGCAGAGGCCAGGACACACCGCCCCCTTCCTGCCCCCACACCTCCAGGCAACACAGGGTGGCCAGTGGACCGTAAACCATTTATTTCCAAACTATAAATAAATCTGTTCTCTGAAAAATGGCGCTGTCCAGGTGATGAGGCCCCAGCCTCTCCATGTCCCCTTCCCAATTGCTCTGCAGTCCAAACTCATTGCCCTTAGCAAGCTGCTATGCCTCTGAAATTAGTCTTGGCTACCAGCGCCTGGCCAACAGTGGAGCGGAACCAGCCACTCCTTCCAGCACAGCTGGGGCCCAGCTCCAGCCAGGTCCCAGGCTGGCCTGAGCTTGCCCCCTCTGCTTCACCACACTCCCAAGCAATTAAAGGTGGGAGCCATGAGTCCCTGACCTAGCCCTACCACATGGTCACGCCTGGGTAAGTACTGGCCTACTGCTCCCCAGCTGCTGAGAGGAGCCACCCAGGCCCCTGAGACACTGTCAAGTGTCAGCAGCAGCACGGACTGGGAGGCAGCCTGCTTCCAAACTGCTCCCTGGACTGTCACTGCTGCCCCTGGGCCACAAAGTATTCCTCTTCATTGTCATCTTCTTCTTGCTGGCTGTTCCGGAGCAGCAGCTCCAGGTCAGGGCTGGAGCCCAGCCCCTTCAAGGGTTTAGGGCCGCTGTCACCTTGAGATAGAGAGAGACCACAGTTATGGACCCAATAATGGTTTTCTTGGTTTGTCCTGATTCACGTGTGTGCTGAGTCACCCAGGCCCCAATGCCCGACTCTCTGGGGATGACCCTGAGGAAGGATGGTGGCAGAACCACCAGGCACCCTTCCTGAATTAGAGCAGCAGCCAGGAGAAGTGGCTAAACTGTGTAGACAGCCAGGTCACTGGAACTGCTCTGGGAAGTCTGAGCCACCTGGCTCTTCTGCCAGTGCTGGGTTATGGGGAAAATGACATCAGAAAACAGAGGCTTCTGGACGGGGTGCTGGGTTACCTCTGGAGTGCAGGGCTTTGAGAGCAACGTGCAGAGATATTCCCGAGAGGCAGAGGGCGAAGCCCAGCCAGTTCAGGAGGCTGATCTGGTCACCCAGCAGATGAGCTGCCAACAGCAAAGTGCAGACTTCCTGGGGGAAGAGAAGCAGGAAGGGAAGTGGTCAGCAGAGGAGCTGGTGCCTCTGCAAGGAGCGTGAAGAGCTGGGCACACTTATAGGATAGACCAGACCCGCCCAGACTCCCCAGCCCAGGCGGCATAGGTTGGCCTGCAGGGTAGAGGTCAGAGGACCAGGCCTGCCTGTAGCACTGTCCTGCTGGCTTCCTGCTGTGTTCCTGAGATGCAGCAAAGGAGGTGCTTTTCACAAAGCCTGTCAGGAACATAAGAGGCAAACCCAACCCAGGGCTGACAGCGCAGGGTGTCCAGCTCACACCATATCCACAGGAATAAAAGACAGCTGCCCTTCCGGAAGGCACCTGCTGTGTTCCTGAGATGCAGCAAAGGAGGTGCTTTTCACAAAGCCTGTCAGGAACATAAGAGGCAAACCCAACCCAGGGCTGACAGCACAGGGTGTCCAGCTCACACCATATCCACAGGAATAAAAGACAGCTGCCCTTCCGGAAGGCACCTGCAGATGAGGAGCCCTGAGCTTCCATGCCCTCACATGCAGGATGTAGCGTTACACTGGGCTCTGCAGGACACATCCTGGTCCTGGGGTTCTACAGAAATAGCGACTGCCGATGGGAATGGCAGGACACCTCCTTCTGAGAGCCACAGCTTATGCCTCATCATTTGGCTGGTGACCAGAAGACCCTTGGGGAGACCTGCATTTCTGTTTTTAGGCAACACTGTTCTAGTACCCAGGGAGCAGTGGAGAAATGGTGGGGGAGGGAAAGGGGGGAGAGTGTGCCAGGGGCAGTAAAGGCAAGACTGGAGATGCGTGGCACTCACTCATGGTATAACTATCCCCTGCTGTGCCCATGGTAGACATTGCTAATCGATCATGGAACTCTACTTGCTGGGGGTTCTCAATCTATGGCTCCAGGACACAGCCAAATGGCCAGAGTTGGCCTTCAACATCAAAAGGAAACGCACCCTAGTGGAGTTAGACCTGGCTTTGAATCCCAGTCTAGGAGCGGCTCTCCGTGTCTGCTTCCCTGTCTGTGGACTGCACAATCTGCCCATTCCTAGGAGAGAGGTGAGCATAGCACTGAGCACCACCTAGGCACTTTGTCTCTTCTCCACAGGGCCCTGGGGTGCAGGAGCTGGGACAGGCACTGCTTGTAAGAAATACCCTATAGGGGGGCCCCTAAGATAGGACTAGCGTCAACTCCAAGTCTGTACCTTAAAAATGCCAGCAATGGAGAGAGTGAGGCTGGAGGTTCTGGAGACCAGGAGGAACTCAGAGAAGCCCAAACCAAAGGCGAGAATCCCGCCAAGAAAGAGGCTCCCGAGTACCCGCAGAAGCAGCCCTGTGTCCTGGAAACGGAAGATTTTCTCAGATGTGGACAAATGGAGACCTGAAAGCAATGGGGGGAGAGAGAGTGGGAGGCCAGGTTATGGGGGAGCCTTGGCAGCCCTGCCCGCCACCCAGATGAGATCTGCCACGGTTGTAGTGAAGATTTACTGAGCAACTGAGAAAAAGGATGGGAAGTATAAAACAATACCACACAGGTGGCCTGAGACTTGGAGAACCTGGGGAAGAAGTGATGGTTGCCAGAGAGCCCCAGGACAATACAAGCCAGCGATCCTGAAGGGAGTGGTGGGGAGGGCCCTAGGAGCCTCTGGGTTACAGGTGGCCTGAGACTTGGGGAACCTGGGGAAGAAGTGATGGTTGCCAGAGAGCCCCGGGACAATACAAGCCAGCGATCCTGAAGGGAGTGGTGGGGAGGGCCCTAGGAGCCTCTGGGTTAAAGTCGAAGGGGATGGCATTGCACAGACACTGCACGGAAGTGCCCTGCTCCTTCAGACAGTATTGACCTACTGATCTTTGTCAGGGGAGGTGACTTCATGTGGTCTTTGTAGTTGTGATAATTAATGACCAAAGAGAGGCAGGGCAGCCCATCAAGTGAAGACTGACAAGGCTCTGGCCCACTGAGGGGGGGTTCCCAAGTCGAAATTTTCAGCTGGACCACTACAAACAGGGATAAAATTCAACCTCTACAAATTTCCATTTTAATATGGGTCTTGCTATTACAAAGCTCAGGGACTTGGGCTGAGATATATCCCCTTTCTGGACTTGTTTCCCTATTGTTAAAATGATAGAACTGGGACCAGACTGCTATTTCTCAAACAAGTAGTATAATTTGATAAACATTTCCCCCAAAGAGAACATATAAATACAGGACAAAAGCCAGGGCTACTTGCTCTAGAAACATACACACATATACACACAGTATTTTGCTTAGACTTTCAGAGGAGTCACAGACCATCCAACATTGTCCATCTGAGACAATGACTCGCTGGATCCCTCCCAGCAGGAAAGTCCCCATGGTGTATCAGCAGGGGGTAAAGGTTAGGCCCAAATTGGGCACGACAGAGATATCTGTGGTAGCTGGAAGCTGGACAAGTACTTTGAGATTTTTTGGAAGGAAGCACTAAAGAAATACAAAGTGACAGTCGTCACTCCCCCCCACCGGCAAATAGCCTCACAATGTAGGACATCTTGTTTGGTGCTGGGCTCAGCAGTACTGCAGAGGCATTGGCAAACCAAAGGGAATTCGGGGAACAGCAACCTAAGTAATGAAGGCGCTTGGGGGATTAATTTACCAGAAAAGATTAAAGGAGCTAAATCCATGCAGCTTTGCTAAGTGACGGCTACCAGGAGCTTTCGGATGAGGGTTTGCAGAGATGGGGCATGGCGTAAATACCAGGAGGGGCGGGGGAGGGCGGTGTTTGGTACAAGGGGGCATAATGAAGGAATGTGGAGATTTTGAAAGGAAAAAAACAAGGCTCTGTGCAGAAGTTTCCTGGACAACGGGGCTACAGAATAATTTTCTCAGGGAGGTTCGAGACGCTTCACTGCTTGAAACTTAAATGGATGTGGGACAGACTTTTCTGTAATGACCCTGAGGACAGATAGGACTCTGGGAGGAAGAATAAACAGACAAGGGACAAAGACTAATCCCAACACATCAGAGGAAGGAAGGTGGCACTGCCCCTCCCAGCTGACACACTTCTCCTGCCTCTCCTCTTCTCTGGAAGATGACAGTGGACAGGACAACTGCTCATATCCCCACGCTCCTGCATGCTGGCCCTGGCCCCAGCACCCCTCTGGAATCCCATGCTCGCTGACCCTGTGCAGCCCGTACTCCCTGAATACATGCCCTGATGTCACATGCCTGGACACAGCTGAACTCCGCCCCCATTCAAACCCCCCTCATCCTCCAAAATACAGTCTGGGAAGCCTTTCTGACTTGCCTCGCCACTCTATGCCCCTGAAACAAATAACTCACGACTCTCCGCTCCTTCTCAGAGGCAATACATAGAGTGGTTAAGAGTGGGGCTTGCAGCCAGGCTGCTGGGTCCAAATTCAGACTCATTTATGAGCCATGGGACCTTGGTCAAGTTATTTTTATTTCTCGGGACTTCAGTCTCTTTCACCTGCTAAATGGGGATAGTAATAGTACTGCCCCACAGGGTTTGAGGGAGGATTAAATGAGGGAGTAGGTTTAAAATGATTACAACAGTCCTGGCGTACCTTTAGGGTTCTGCACACGTTCACTGTCATTACCATCCCCTGTATTTTATACATACTTTCCATGCAGCATTTAGCATGCTGGATTCTACTGTTTTATATGTCTGCCCGGTCCCCAGACAACATGCTGCCAGGAGGGATTGCACCTTTCATCTCGCTAAGCTCTGTGGCTATCCCTGGGGGGGCTCAGAGCAAGGATTGGGATGTGTTGTATTGAGGTACCCCTGAGGTGGATGAACCGACGTACCTTCAAATATGGCAAAGAGAGGGAAGAGCCCCAGAAACATGAGTGGCTGCAGGTGGAACATGGTGTCGATGGGGTTCTGGAGGCCTGCAGGATGGGGACACAGGGGATCCTCAGGTCTGGCCAGCACGGCACAGCCTCCACCCTGCCTGTGCCCCCCAGGCCCATCTCTTAGGGGGTGAGTGGCACACACTCACCAAGTTCAGCCTTCTGCAGGAGCATCTGGGTGAGGGTCCAACGGATGCCACCGATGAACGAGGCCCCCAGCACCAAGGCGAAGCCCTCCATGTTGAACTGTGTAGACTTGTAGGTGAACATGAAGAGACCCCCGGCGATGAGGAGGACCACCAGGACCAGTGCCGCGCGCTAGGAGGATGGGAGCAAGTGCAGCTAACTCGTGGGTCTCGAGGGTCAAGAGTTTGTCAAACCTGGAGTCTGGGGGGTCAGCAGCCATCTTGGCTTCCCCTGGGGCAAGAAACCCTTCTACCCTCACCCCCACCCTGAGGGGTCCAGGACAGTCCTTGACCATTCATGTAAGCAGGGCTGACATTCAGCTGGTATGTACCCAACATCCCTTTTGTTCTAAAATACTGAAGTGCCTTCCAACAGCTGTGCTAGGCCCCAAAGCCCCCCCACCCCACCCCATCTAGCAAATAATGGCTACAGCCTTGCACAACAGGAAGCTCCAAGACCCTGCTCTACACAGACTCTCCTTGAATGCTTTCTCCTTTGGTCATGACCCTGCCACACCAGTTTCTAGATATTCTGAATACTGCCCCTATGTCTATATCCCTTCTCAGAAAAGGGAGTTACTGCCACCTGGGTTGGACCTGTCTTTTCTGTCACAAGGAGTGACAGCCACTGATCAGATTCCCTTTCATTCTTAGAATCTGTGGGGGCGGGAGGGACAACAGACAAGCTGGGGCCTCACCAGCTCCTCCAGCTTGAAGATCAGAGAGAAGATCAAGATGAAGAGGACGGCGGAGGATTTGGTCATTGTGTACCTGGAGGTGAAAATTATCCACAATGCACCGCTGGAGCTTGGGCTCAGCCCACCCCCCAGAAAGGAGCACAGGCCACAAATCAGTGGGTTGGAAAGGGATGAGGTGGGGGAGACACCCAACATCCCTGAGGGCAACTAGTTCTTCTGCTCAGGGCAGCAGGGCAATCTGGGCACAAAAGATCAAAGGAGCCAGCCTATCAGTGGGTTGGAAAGGGATGAGGTGGGGGAGACACCCAACATCCCTGAGGGTAACTAGTTCTTCTGCTCAGGGCAGCAGGGCAATCTGGGCACAAAAGATCAAAGGAGCCAGCCTGAGTTGTCTGGGCTGTAAGTGACCTTTAACCAGAAGAAACCTGACTAAGAGGCCTCTGATTATCACCAGGGAGAAGAAGCTGCAGGTCTGACACTGAGCTCGCGAGTCCTAGGCTTTCCCTAGCCCTCGGCGGAGACCAGGATGAGGAAGGACTAGAGGAGGAGAGCGAAAGCAGGGATTGTGAAGACTGACTACCGCGTGGCCTGCTGTGCCCACGCCAGGCTGGGCCGTGGCTGCACACACCACACACCAGTCGCTTCCTTTCCCACGCTGTGCTGCTGCCTGCGTCCCTTGCTATGACTACGCCGTGCTCACGCTGTAGTCCCCTGGCTCCCCCATGCTGCTGGCAGGCAAGCACAGCACCCCTGTGCGCTGGGCTTACAGAAGAAGCTGGTGACTTCCCAGAGAACTGCAGGCTGCCAGGGAGGAGCTGAGAGAGCAAGCGCTGGTTCCACAGTGGTGGAGTGGCCAGCCTGTTGGCCAGGGGCGCAGACAGCCAACTAGACAGACAGAAAGCTCGAGGCTGAAGGGAGGTGGCAGGGTGTGGTGATACTCACAGCGAGACGGTGATGTACAGGAAGCTCCAGTTGGACAGGCCCACGTCAAGTGCCGTTGCCAGTGCTGTGGAATCAAGGGGCACCCACCAATGGTGTGGGCACAGTTGACACTCAGCCGGGGTGGGCTGGCATGGGGGTGTCGGTTATTAAAACACGTCCCCAAGGCACAGAAATGCCCCCCTCACCCTGCTTTGCCCTGTACCTCACAGCTCCCTCTCTAGGGCCCTCAGGCCTTTCCACCCAGCAACTAAGAGGTTAACACCTGGCTCCCCCCAAATGGGGGGCGGGGTGGCATTCCAGCATTAGGAGTATGTTCTGATTGGCCGGGGCCTGTGTTGTTCCCATTTTGTTAAATGTTCTGAACATCCCCCAGACGAGGGGTATTAATCTGACCCTGTCAACCCCCTACTGAAAACCCTTCTCCCTCAGGATGAGACACAAACTCCTCAGCGGGGATCTGGCCCCTGCCAACCCTCTCGTTTCTCACTTCTCCTACTTCTTCTCACCACTGCTGAGTTCTCAGCATCTTGAGACACTTTCAGTTCCCTTTCAGACCTCCACCTGCTGCACAAAACTCTTGGGCCCACGAGTGACCCCTCCCAGGACTGGGTAGTCCCACTCATCTGTTAGGTCTCAGCCTACTCAACACTTGACCTAGGGAATTTTCCCCGACCAGCCACACCCGGCCTTGGTTTGGTTCCTTCTCTGTGCTCTGCAGTGCCCTGCAGGGCCCAGTCACAGTTCTTCCACGGGAGGGACCCCGCCTGCTCAGCACTTCATCTCCAGGACTCAGCACATATTGTGGGCTCAGTGCACATGCGAAAGGGTGACGCCTTGTGCTAAAGGCCACAGCTCCCTGGAGGGAATCTGTGAGAGGCAGCAGCAGGGCTGAGTGAGGGCAGGAGAGATGGGTGAGGAGGCACAGGGTGGGAAGAGAGAGGGCTTTTCTCCTGCTCTTGGCCTAGGGTTCTCCAGCCCTGCCCTGCCGGGGCTCTGCCCCCCCCAAAGCACCCACCTGTGGGAGCGACTCTTCTGAGGTAGTCGGTCCAGCTCAGCACCACACGGGCCCTGTGGCTGGAGCACTGAACAAGCGCCCTGGACAGGGCAGAGAAGAGGAAGATCACGGCCAGGTGCAGCATCGTCATGAAGAGGGGGAAATGGAAGCTCTGTAGAGAGCCCAAAGCAGACAGCCCAGGGTCAGTTTAGACAGCCAGCCCCAACTCCAGCTCCTCTTCCTCCTCGCCTCTAGCTGGGGGCAGTGGGGTTGATTTGCGGGCTCATGAGGGCTTTGCAGTATGTAAGGGCCCTCAGCTACATTACCATCACTTGGAATGAGAGACTAGTACACCCAATTTTGGGTCACACAGAGGGGACAGTCCAGAGGCTCATTCCTAGCCTGGTGCTTTCTCCACTGCTTTAACATACCTGCAAGCTACCTGTTCAGCCCTCTCCATGCCTATGCCCAGGTAAGAGCCGCAGTGGGCCAACACACTGTATCAATTACTAAAACACTGGAATACTTCTCTACTGGCTGGGAAATAGCTGCGGCCTTGAGCCCAAGTGTCCCTAGCTCATCCCTTAGCATCTTCCCCCTCCTTAATTTCCCCTTGATCCAAACATTTAGGGGAACCCCTGGCATGGCATGCTTCCAGGACCCTGTTCCATCACCAGGCACAACTGGCTTCCAGTTTGACAGGTGAGCCTGTGCCCTCCTGCTGTTAAACATGAGGGGGCATTGTAGCCATGGTTAAGGCCATCTTTGTCCCAGCCCCTGCATTGGCCTTAGGGCTTGCACCGGTGCCCTCCGTTACCTTTGTCAGCCATTTGTTGTAGAAGGTGATGCCAATGGAGAAGGAGTAGTAGAGAAGGACCAGCCCCAGGGTCAACACCGCCTTCCACACAAAGGCCACGTCCAGGGCCCACCTCCCCATCCGGGGAAGCTGCAGCACCCTAGCTCCTGGTCGGCGGGGGCGACACCCTCCTGAAGACAGCTATGGGAAGGGCCGGCTGAGCTGGACCACGACTCTCAGCAAGAACGTCTCCTGGCTACAGGAGTTCTCTTCCCTCCATGATTCCAATGGTCAACGGAGCCCCAGGTGGAGTCCTCAGGGGCTGGTGGTCCAAGCCCACCATTTCCATAGCTGACTGGATGCAGGGCTCACAGGTCCCCAGGTCTGCTGCTGGAAAAATGAAAAGGCAGCTCTGGTGGCTCAGGCAGAGACTGCATCTCTTGGAGCCACAGGTGCCCATGAAGGCCGTGCGACTCCTCCCAAGGGCCTGCCTCTGGCCACCCCATTCCTGCCCACTAGAGTGGGTCTGAGCCCAGACTGGGCAGCAAGGAGCCCACACCAGCACAGGCACTCAGAGCCCCATGTCACGCCCACTTGTCACCTCAAGCTGTTCTACTTGAGCTGCCACCAAAGTGACCTTTTACAAATGTATATCTGATCATGTCAGACCACTGCTTAAAACCTTTCAGCAGCTTCCAGTTCTCTTCTGATAAAGACCAAAACCCTTCCTGGGGTTCCCTTCCAGACTCCAGCCTCAGCCAGAGGCTCTCCGGGCCCTGGTCCCACCGGCCGCCTTTCAGTTCCCCAAACAGTTCCCCTGCTGCCCAAGGGAACTGAATGCTTTGTCCCCTTCAGTCCTTCCACAGTTGATCCTACTCATCTTCAGCTCAAATGTCACTTCCTCGGACACCACCCTACCATTGGCCCCCGAGATACTGGTGGATCTCACAGCTCTCCTATTTTTCCTTCATAGCACTTGTGCGGGGTGTGATCTGAGTAATGTCTGTGTCTCCTGTAAGGCTACAGGTTCCACAAAGATAGGGACCAGAGTGGCCACACTGGCTTTATATACACCTGGCATATTTTAAGTTTTCGATTCAGTTTGGAGACTCAGCAACAGACAGCATGCACGTGATTTTCAGGGGACTGATCCAGTCTTCACCGATTAAAAATGGACCAGGAAACCAGTACCTATCTTGCCCTAGCGTCTAATAACTACGCCCATAGAGGCAGTGCCTGCCTAGGGTCTTGCGAAACTAAAGCACTCCCTGCCTCTCTATCAATCATGCCAATCTCAATGAGTGCCCAGAGCATGCCAGGCTCAGGGTGGGGGTGGGGGAACTAGGTGGGCCTGTCTGTGCCTTGAGGAGCGCAAGGTCCAGCGTTATAGCATCTGTATGTCCCCTCCTCCCCATCTCCTTTGAGACACCTCCACCCTGCTGAAATGCCACCTCCTTCCTGAAGCCTTCTTAGAACCATCAATCAGACACTGCCCCCTCCTCCCCCCACCCAAGTCCTTTGGGTTTTTTTTGGCAGCTGGCTGGTATTAGGATCAGAACGCTTGACCTTGGTGAAGGGAGTAACTACATTCTGTTCTGTGCTCTAGAACCTCTGTTATCATTCCCCTTCCCCCAAGGCAAACTGGGAGCTGGCACAAGGCTTTGCCCACAGGACTCTGCCCACAGGGAGTCCTAGGGCTGCAGTTCTCTTCAGAGGAGCTTTGGGAACCTGTGGTGGTGTTTGTGGGGGAGCAGTAATGTTGAAGGAGCAGTCCTGTAATGAAGAATTGTTCTGCATCCTGCATGACTTTAACAGTCACATAGGTGAAAAATTGGCTTATAATTACCTGAATCTGGAACCTAACTGTTCTATATGTAAGTAATTTCCCCATGGTTCTACTATGCACTAAGATTTCCAAGAATATGATTACCACATACATTGAGGGGAGACTGAACTCTTTGTAAAAATGGTACCAGGAGTTCCCATTCCGGAAAAAACCACAGCACCTACAGCAATGGCATTCATGGTTTTTGCGGTGCCAACACAACATGGCTACATCAGCCTGTGCTTATGGCAACCACATTCCCAGAGGTTATGCAGAGAGGAAAAAGTGGCTGCTTCACTGTGACTTCTATTATCGTTGTGCCCGGGAACCTGCATATTGAAACACATTTTTATTGTCAATTACTTTCCTCTTACAATATAGTGATGGCATTGTTGATTTTTTTTTTTAAAGTTATGTGTAGGCAGTTTTTATTAACCCTAAGTTTCATTTCAGGATAATAAAGGGGGTTGTTATGAAATATCAGTAATAAAGGGGTGTTGGATCCAATAGGTTGAGTCACTGACCTAACGCAGTCACACTCCTTGAAATGCCTTTGTAAACTGACACCTCCACCGCGTGTATCCCAGCTGATTCCTCACGAACCTCAGAAGAACACTCAACTGCCTACTTGACCCCTTCACTTGGATGTCTATTATCAGGCATCTCACACCCCAAGTGTCCAAAACTGACTCCTGTTTTTGGTATCTACCCTCCACCGAAACCTGCTCTGCTTCCCCCTTCCCATCACAGCAAATGGCACCACCGTCCATTTACCCAGTTGCTCAGGCCAAAAACCTTGTTCTCATCCAGACGGCTCTCTTGCCCTCAGCCCACACTCAACTAACAAATACTGTCAGCTCTATTTTCAACAATACCCCAAATATGATCACATCTCCCAACCTGCACCACTACCATCCTCTCCCCAAACGACTGCAATAGTCTTCGACATGGTTCTCTCTGCTTCTCCTGCAACTCCCACAGCCAGACTCCTGCTTACACAGCTAGAGAGCGGGGCACGTGGGCATCACACCTATGTCTCACAGATCTCAAGGTCCACACGCCTTCCTCTACACCAGGGTTTCTCACTATTGGTATTCGGGGCCGAATGACTCTTCATGGATGGAGAGGAAGCATGTCCTGTGATTGTAGGATGTTTAGCAGCATCCCTGGCCTCTAGCCACTAGATGCCTGTAGCATCCTCCCTCCACCCCCACCCCAAGTTGTGACAACCAAAAATGTCCCCAGACATTGTCAAATGTCACCTGCAGATCAAAACTGCTTATTCTACACAGGTAATCACAAGGGCACGCTGGCACTAAGAGAACTGTCTTTCTAGAATCTCCCTCCACGGGTCCTTCTGGTGGCTCTCCAAGCCAGAGCAGTCTGTTCACCCTTCTGTGAATCAACTTCTTGTACCTTCCGCTTTTACTGCAGTTCCTGCTCCAACACTGCAATGCCCTCCCACCACTGTTCAAATCCTGACTGTCCTTCACAGACCCAGTCCACATCCCCTACCTCCATGAAGGCCCCATAACTACCCTAGCCACAGGGAGCACTATCTCAAAGTTAACAATGCTCATTTTCTTATTAGCATTCAGGTCACCTACCTACAAAGCCCACAAAGCTATAAGGGCCCTTGGAAATCTAGCCACTTACTCAATGTGTCCTTATTAAGCACCCCTGTATACCTAGCATTACAGATATAAATGTGAAACTGATAAGGTCCCCACCCTTATCTTATGATAAGGGAAACCAGGCTTAAAGAGATAAATGCTCTTTTTCAAATATCACTTGCTCGGGGAAAAAATTCTATATTCTGCCTCACTTTACCCAGGGAGCAGCTTTTGGGAGCAGCAGCCACACCAGGGTGGGGCTGGCCCACCGCTGTAGCACCTGCTCCCCTCACGCTCCCTGATGGTAACATGGGCAGTGTGGCTTAGTGCTTAAAAGTGTGGGCTTTGGAGTTAGGGACTTGGGATGAAATCATGGTACCTCTACTTATGACATGACCCTAAATTACTTCACCTCTGGACTCAGTTTCTCCAACTGTAAAGGGGGATAAAATCATCTGCCTCCTGGGGAGGGGAGCCCATGGCATCAGGTAGGGCACTTAATGCTGGCTCACGGTAGGGCTATACTCCCCTCCTGGTCACCTTACAGCAAAACTTCTCCAGTGGTCCCTGCACCGCCACTCCACTCCCTCACCTCCCCACCTCTCTTCAGGCAGTCCCCACTACCCCAACGCGTCACCACACTCTCCCCTCTGTCGTAAGGGCCAAGTCCCCATACTCATCTTACACAACTGACCACTTCCTCCTCCTGGAAAAACCTTCTCTTCGGTGCCACGACACCACACTCTCCTGGTTTTTCTTCTGCTTTTCTGGACTCGTTCTTGGTTTTCTCTGCAGGCACCTCCTCTTCGAACCAACCTGTAAAACTTGGGTGTCTGAGGGTTGAACCCTGGATTCTCTATCTTAATTCTCACCCTAAGTAATCATCCCACCCATCAACTTGCCAGTGATTTCTAAATTCTTCACGTTAGCTCTAATCTTTTCTGAGTTCCAGATTAGTATATCTAATTGCCTATTTTATAGCTCCACTCGAGATGTTTAAAACTTCAAATGCCCTAAGATTTCTTAATTATTCCTCATGACCCCAACCTATTCCAAAGCCACTTAGTAAACGCCAGCATAATACACCGGGTTACTCAAGTCAAACCCCCAAATCAATGATGAAATCATCTTTGATCACCCTCTTTCCTTCATTCCTCAAATCTTGCCCTGTCAGTTCCACCTGCAATATACTTCTTGACCCAACTACTACTCTTCACCTCTACCCCTCACCCCGACCACAGTCTAAGCCACAATGATCTTTCATCTACTGACTGCAACTGGTCTAATTGGTCACCCTGGTTCCTCTTTCACCCCTACAGCCTGGAGTCCAAAAAGCAGCCAGAGAGATGGCTTAAGCACAGAGTAGACCACGCCTTCCTAAGGCTAATGCCAACTCTTCAGCACAGTCCACAAGAAAGGCTTCCCCTGATCTGGCCTCTGCCGACCTCCGCAACCTCATTCTCCTACCACTGCCCCCAGCACCGGCACAGTGGCCTCCAGCAGTTTGTCAAACACATCCAGTCTGTGTCCCTCTCTGTACTTGCTGTTCTCTCTGCCTACAACACCCTTCCACAGACCTCAGCTTAGATGAATACTTTCCCTAAGGTCCCCCATCCTCGTGGCACTTCTCTCCATGTGACATTTCCTTGTTTGCTCACGTGTTCAATGCCCGCCCCACCCCCACCGCGAGGGGCGCCCTCTCGGCGGGCAGCGCGGTGTCTGCCTGATTCCCGCCTGGGCGCGGGGCGGCACGTCGCAGAGCTCAGTGAACACCAGGAGAACCGGCGCGCGGCCGGCGGCCCGCGGGAAGGCGCCTGGAGACCCTGCTCCCCCCACAGACGGAAAAACTGAGGCCCGGGGAGGGGCAGGAACACCGGCGAGCCCCGCGCCACAGCGCGCAGAGCCCGGGCGGGGACCCCGCTTCCCGGCTCCAGCCCCGGCCCTCCCCGCCTCAGGGAACGCGCGGGGAGCC